CTCTCCCCCCGGCGGCCGGGGGGAGGGCGCCGAGGGGGAGGGCGGCCAGAGCGCCGGGGGGAGGGCGGAGAGCCCGGCCGTGGCCCCGCTCTCCCTGGTGGCCGGAGCGCCGCGCCGCCCCCCTCCAGGTGCCGCCCCAAGCACAAGCTTGGTGGGCTGGTGCCTGGAGCCGGCCCTGAGGCTGACTGGCCTGTAGTTTCCCGGATCCTCCTTCTTCCCTTTTTTAAAGATGGGCACTACATTAACCTTTTTCCAGTCATCCAGGACCTCCCCCGATCGCCATGAGTTTTCAAAGATAATGGCCAATGGCTCTGCAATCACATCCGCCAACTACTTTAGCATCCTTGGATGCAGTGCATCCGGCCCCATGGACTTGTGCTCGTCCAGCTTTTCTAAATTGTTCTGAACCACTTCTTTCTCCACAGAGGGCTGGTCACCTCCTCCCCTTACTGTGCTGCCCAGTGCAGTAGTCTGGGAGCTGACCTTGTTTGTGAAGATAGAGGCAAAAAAAGCATTGAGTACATTAGTTTTTTCCACATCCTCTGTCACTAGGTTGCCTCCCCCATTCAGTAAGGGGCCCACACTTTCCTTGACCTTCTTCTTGTTGCTAACATACCTGAAGAAACCCTTCTTGTTACTCTTAGCATCCCTTGCTAGCTGCAACTCCGAGTGTGATTTAGCTTTCTTGATTTCACTCCTGCATGCCTGAGCAATATTTTTATCCTCCTCCCTGGTCATTTGTCCAACCTTCCACTTCTTGTAAGCGTCTTTTTTGTGTTTAAGATCAGCAAGGATTTCACTGTTAAGCCAAGCCGGTTGCCTGCCATATTTACTATTCTTTCTACACATCAGGATGGTTTGTTCTTGCAACCTCAATAAGGATTCTTTAAAATACAGCCAGCTCTCCTGGACTCCTTTCCCCCTCATGTTATTCTCCCAGGTGATCCTGCCCATCAGTTCCCTGAGGGAGTCAAAGTCTGGTTTTCTGAAGTCCGGAGTCCGCATTCTGCCGCTCTCCTTTCTTCCTTGTGTCAGGATCCTGAACTCGACCATCTCATAGTCACTGCCTCCCAGGTTCCCATCCACTTTTGCTTCCCCTATTAATTCTTCCCTGTTTGTGAGCAGCAGGTCAAGAAGAGCTCTGCCCCTAGTTGGTTCCTCCTGCACTTGCCCCATGTTCCCCTGCTCACCCTGACACCTGAGCACAGCCTTGCCCTGTGTGCCCCATGTTCCCTTTCTGACCCTAAGACCTGAGCACAGCCGTGCCCCAAAGGCAGCACATTCTCCCTGCTGACCCTGACACATGAGCACAGCCATGCCTCGTAGGCCCCAGGTTCTCTCTGCTGACCCTGATATCTGAGTGTATCCATTCTCCATGGGCATCATGTTCTCCCTGCTGTGCTTACATTGGCACCTGAGTGTAGCTGAGCCCCATGGGCCCCACATTCGCCCTACTGATCCTGACACCTGATCGCAGCCATGCCTCGTGGGCCCCACATTCTCCCTGCTGACTCTGACATTTGAGCACATTGCTACAACCCTAGTCCTGGGGGGAGAATTGCCTCCATCTGGCTCCTAAGAATGCTCCCTGTGTGGCTCTGCTTTCTCAGTGAGATCTCTGCCCCATTTTGACTACCCCTATGTCTCTGAGACTCCACTGGGGTTCCAGCCCTACCGAAAGCATTCCCTCCCCCGCTCCTCGGTACACCCACACCTCCATTGGGATCTCGGCCCCCAGGGGAGTACTGTCCTTTATCTCTGCACCTTTGGCAAGGTTGTGAGTGTGACTGCAAGGCAAACACTGCCCTGTGTGTCTCTGTGATGGTCTCCACCCTTAGCTCCTGCATTTGGAGCATATTGAGCGCTTTTGGCTTCACAGCCTGTTTTTCACTGCACGGCTGAGGTGCCTGCTCCCACTTAGCTGGATGAAAGGCTGAGCTAGATAGGCTGCCGAGCACTCACTATTTTTTAGGGGCTTATTCCCAATGCTGGTGAAAGGCTCCCTGGCTTCCACCTCTTGGGACCATGGATAGACCAGGTGGGACTAGAGAAATGGCTGGCCTGAAACAGACCAGCAAAGCACCTGACATCCAGGGCTTTGAAATTCATTTCCCCAGCTCTCAGGACTCCTCTGCCCCCTTCCAATCAGAGCTCTGCCTGTGCGTATCCATGGGTGTGTCCTCACTGATGGGATGGATGAAATGTGCTTACGGATGCAGCCCTCCAATAGCCTGTTAAATTTCCAAGCATTTCCCTGGCTGAGAACTTTGGTCTCAGCACAGCTGGGGGCTCTATCCTCAGTCAGTACTACTGTGGCTGGATCACTGTGGGTCTACTGGATGGCTGCTCCTGAAAACATCTCTTACCATGTTGGGTGGGGTGGGTTTGGAACAGTTGTGAGGGGGGGTAAGCAACATGAGAAGCAACATGGCGCCATGAGAAGAATGGGGTCTTGGAGGCTTCTGTACTTTAGAGCAGATTATTTGTGCCCTTTGTCCTCCAGCTGGCCTCGAAGCAGGTGACTAGCTGTGCTTTGGCATGTGGCATTCCCCACCGCCCATCCAGGCTTTCCAGATACTGGCTCATCGCACAGGTGTGCATGCTGAATCCAGGGATGCAGCCATTCCCTAGAATGAGCGCGGAGAAGCAGGGACTGGCAATGGGACTTGGTATAGCTGTGAGTTCTCCCACTGAAATGAATACTAGCACCAAAAGGTTCAGTGAATGAATGATCCAGATCCAGCTTTTCCATTTGTCTCTATTTCCTCACTTACACAAATGATGATTAAATTAGTTTCACCTTTTCCCACACAGGAATCCTGGATTCATTTCACAGGTGACCTAGGGACTGGCTGAAGGATAGGGAGATCAGGGTAAAACCTGGATGTGGATCAGCCAGAGAGACCATTTGATTTGTGAATTTTATTCCTAGACTTGAGATCCTGGAAACCCCAATCAAACAGAACAGGTAAAGTCCATCCCAGGCATAACCACACTGGCTGTGTGTAGACCAGGTCACCTAACGAAGCCTCAGGTTCTGGGAATTGGAAGTGCTCAGGGAAAGATATAGCTTCAGGAGATAATCCTGGATCTCTTCACGTCTGGGAGCTGGGCAGGATGCTAGGCATGGTTCTGCTCCTCCTTCTGCATGACATCAGCCTTTGATATACAGCCTCCTGAGCTGTCGGCTCACCAGTGCGCTCCTTGCTCTCCAGAGTGGCTGAGGTGACTTTCTCCATCAGGGTGGGTGGCTGGTCCCAGTGGGAGGCCAGCCACAGATTGGTTTAGTCCTGGCAGCTTCTTGGGAAGGCAAAACGGGGGGTTACAATACTTCCAAATGGTGTCTGATTGAAAAAGAAAAATCCCCTCTGCGGTTTTCAGGGAAGTTCTCTGGTCTGTGTTGTGCAGGTCAGACTAGCTGATCCTGGTGGTCCCTTCTGGCTTTTGGAATCTATGAAACCAATGTCTAATGGCAGCTTTTCCTCTCCCCTTGTGTCCAAGCCCTGCACCAGTCATGTGCATGAAGATAAAGGGTGTCATTTAGCTAGGCAGCTTATTTGGATATGCAAATGAGATCAGACAATCTCTAGCTAAGGCCCCAGTTTGCTGCTGGTGTCTGTGGATGCACCTTTGTCGATGCTGGTCTAGGCCAGCAGTGTACATCACCCAGATCTCTGAGGCCAGTTCACTGCCCCTGAAACAGCCTAAAATGACTGCAGTGCCCAGGGACTGCAACCAGAGCTGGGGACTCCTAGAACCTGCCAGGGCTTCCCCTGTGAGTGTCACTGGTGTAAAGTGCAAAGGCCACAGCAGCATCCTCTGGCACCATGATGGTTATGTGACAGCATCCCTCCCCCGTCCCTTTGGGAAATGCACCCCACACAGGAGAGCTGAATCCTGGACATTGCTGACACTTTCCCCTCCAGACCCAGTGTTTAGCTTGAGCCCAGCCTCCCCCAGGCCAGCCCCTCCTTTTTCAATTTCCTAGAACCTCCAAGAACCCAAGTGCCTGTGAAGCAGAAAGTTTCCTGTTCTCACCCTTTGCAAAGGAGCTGGAGATGAGGCACTCTCCCACCCACATATACCCTCCTAGCCCCTTCTCTGTTTGCCATACCCTCCCTTTTCTCAGCTGAGCTTTCCTGCTGGCATCCCCCCTCTCCTAAAACATTTTGGCCCACTCTCCTCTGCCATCCTCCTCCCCTTTCAGCTCGTTGGCCTGACTTGGTTCTGTTCCTCTCCAAATACACGTTTGACATTGTTTTCCTCCTGTATTTCCTTTGCATTTCCCCTCTGCCTTTTCTTGCAATG